CTGTTGTGTTGTTTGTGTAGCTTGCCTGCCTGTCTGCCTGCATTCCTCTGAGATTTCCTGGATAGATCCCTAGTGGTTCTAATTCCTTTTGTGGTCAGATTTGGATATGTTTGATCACCTTTGGGACCTTATTTTGTTTTGGGCTTTGCATCAGCCCCCCCAATGAGCCTTTTGTTTACATGTCCTTTGTTCTGCAGTTTGGTTTCTCATCCACTTAATGATCCACACAGTTCACGAAACTGACATTTTGGCATTTATTTATGCTTTTCCTCCTGAGAAATGTCAGCATATCTTTTGTGAAAAGGGCTTGTGGTTAACTTGCTCTGCAGTGAACTAAGAAAAAACCTTAATAAACACCAGCCAATACAAACTTGTCAGGGACCTGGATCTGAGCAATCCAGGGTCCCTGAGCAGTTATGGACCTGTATTTTATTATATGTGTTTTTGGTGTTGCTGTCCATCGTTCTCCCTGCTTGCAGGTATGTGTGTGTGTCTGGGAGCACCTGTTTACAGGCGCCTTCAGGCCTGGTAGGTGTGGCCCTGCCAGGTGGTTGGCCACACCTGAAGACCATCACACAGCTGATGAAGCCCTGTCGGAGGAGTTACTTTAGAGTGTGGTGGAGCTCTCTCCGACGCTGGATCATTGCGTGGCTTCACGTTAGTCTCTTGACCAGTTACTAAGTTTAATCTGCTGCATGATGGTGTGTCTGATGGTGGCCTCTCTGTTATTTCTGACTACCTAGCTGATCTCCTCTGTCTGTATAGCCCTCAGAGAGCACCAAGATCATCGGGCCAACTGCTTTTAGTGCAACCTAGGTCTCGGCTGAAGACCAGAGGACACCGTGCCTTTGCCGTTGCCGCACCCAGGTTATGGAATAGTCTTCCTCTTCATATTCGCACATCAGATTCCATCCAGTCTTTTAAATCACGTCTAAAAACGTATTTGTTTAACCTGGCATTCAAGGATAATTAGGGTAATTTACATCTGGCTTTGCTAGATTATGTAATTATTTTATATTTTATTTATTTTATTTATACCTGTAATTTATATTTTATATTGTGATTTTTATCTGTATCATGATTTTACTGGAAAGCACTTTGGTGTACTTCGGTCTTTAAAATGTGCTATATAAATACATTTTGATTGATTGATTTCCCCAGGAGAAGCGGGAAGACGAGAGGGCAGTGAGCATGGAGTGCTCAGACACTGAGAAGCGGAGACAGGAACACTAGCACTGGGAAGAGGACATGTCACAGGAGACGGGAACGCACTGAGGATTTATTGTTATGTTTTCCATTTTCACTGTAAATAAACGCACTGTTTGCATTCAGAGCTCCACGCCTGGGTCCTCCTTCCTCACATCCCCACGGTTGGCCAGCGTCAACCGTGACAAAACTACTAATGGTTACCAGTTGAACAATAATGGAAGAGAGGGCCGGCAAGACATTGTGGTCATTTCCTCTTTTCAAGCCCCTTTAAAACACAGCTGTCTCTTTATTTTATTGTCAGGTATGGGTTACCATTTTATATCCCAATATTATAGCTTCATGACGTGACTGACTTTCTAGCAGTGAAATCCATCTTTTAGAGTGTTAAATAAAAGATGATTATCTGTAATTTCTTGGTTTTACATCCTGAAGATTAACAGTGAGGTCTGTTGAATTTATTCAGGCTGTGTGCATGCTGGTGAGGCTTGGGGAACACTGACATCAATTACATTGCATTAATTGAAGCACTCTTTAAATAAAGGTGAGGCAGACTACTTAACAATAGTAGGGCTATGTCGGTTATTGAGCATTTTCACATTTTCAGAAGGATTTTCTTTATATACATGAATAACACAGATAATTTCACAGTGTATGAGTATTAGTAAAGAATAACATTTAAATACTGCAGGGTAATATGACACTTACAAAGACTTAACTGCCACGGTCTTGAGTGAGGATCTGGTTGTGTTCCTGTTTGCCATCCTTGCTCCCATTTATTTATTAGCCATTTTGATTGCCTTTTTTTGGATACATCTTGGACCTACAATAAAGTGTAGTGATGGAGTGGCTATCATTGTTGCATGGCAGCAGCAGTGGTATCAAACCCGCTGGTCATCTGGGGTTTGCATGTTCTCCTTGCACCTTTTTGGGTTTCCATACGATCTAAAGACCTTGTGAAAGTCAGTGTGAATGGCTATGTTTCTTTAAAGAGTGAGAAAAAAACTGATTCAGCATATTGTTGATTTTTACTTACTTTTTCTTGTCTTTTTTTTAAACAACCCAGTGCTTAGGAGTTTTGTTTTGAGTGAAGAACAAACGATCGACACAGTGGGTCAGAGCTCATGTAACCTCCTGAACAGGATATTCGCTTTCCCCTTAGGTGATTGACTAACAACCTCTATTTGAACTGATGTTTTTTCCCAATCTAAATTTCTCTATTGCAGTTTTCAACAACAAACATTTATATTGCTGAAACGCACTGGACCTTTCAAGACATTTCTGACAACCTTCATGAGAGTTCATTTCAAACAGAGCTGGATGTTGCAAAATGTCTCACAACAAAGACTTTTGCTTTGTCTCTCCACAGTTATCTGGCTCATTCCATAGAAACAGCATTTTTAAAAACTAACTTGAGGTGCAAAGAACCCAAAGCAGCAGTCTTTACTCGTGGGAATTACCAAAAAAAACCAAACTATTCTTATCTCTGCTTAAACGAGGGAGGGGATTTCATGTCTCTTCTCATCAAGACTGCAGCATCAACCTCTATTTTTACATCAGTTTAATGGTCCTGTCAGCCTCCAGCTGGAACAAAATGGGTTCTAAAAGAATCCACATGACATCTGTCTTTACTCTCGCACACTGGGTATCCGTCACTTTCACAACTGATTTTAAGAGATTTCTAAACACATTAAACCTGCCGTCTTGCTACCTTTCAGATGCTTTCACCTCAAAGAAGCTAGGTTTCCTCTGGCACTGGCTCATTCTGGCTGCTTTTCAGTGCAGACTTAAATTGTGATTGGTCACTGCCTGAGGGAATTGGCAATCAATGTCACTTTCTATTTTAAAATAACTTCTCATAACAGGCTTCTGACTTTTTTTAAGCCGTTATTTAATCACGCACTGCCTGCTGCTCTTTAATGATTACTTTCAAGATTTGAGTGGCCAATTTATTGCAGTATATATTCCAACAATTTACATGATGTAAAAGGATATTTCACAATATCTATTTCATTATATCCTGTTTTTACATTGTTGCTTTTATCATGTAATTACTGTGTGTTATGTATTTACCCGATGCTTATTTGCTTCTTAGATCGTTATTAGTGGGAGCACTTTAAATGATCGATAGCAGGTGTATTAACATTTGGTGGTGTGATGTGTAGTAATTGCGATGCTTTTATAGAGGCCCTGGTGAAAAATAAAAATGGAAACTACATTTCACTGAGATGGTCTGCTGAAGAGATCCAGTAGCTGCTCTTGTACCAACAAAACCACCCTGTTCTCTCTTGATGATACCTTCCCTCTCTTTCGCCCTCATTTTAATCTCTAAACATATTCGTGTTGCTGTACTGTAAATAAATCGCTTCACTTTGAGTACTCAGACTAATCAGAATCAGATTTTGACAAGAAGCCAAAACCTACAAAGAGGTTTTTGGTTTTTGTTTATTTGCTTTAGCCATGCTTTAGGAACTGCACAGTCCTGCTGCAGTATCTTCAGATCACCAATAAGCAGTTAAAACCCAGGTTGTAGTTCAGTGTATTGCAAACATATTTCAGTGACACACAACCCTAATTCCGTCTGACAGGGGATTTACAATTTTCTATTGACACCGTCCTTACTTAAAAATTCATCTGTAGTACAGATTTGTCACCAAAAGAGGTCAGCAAGATACTTTTTATATCAGCACACATGACCTAAATATCAGCAGTTGCTTAGAAAATAAAATGTAATTAAAGAATCCAGCAATTATTAAAATCTGCAAAATGCACAGGAGCTGTGATGCTTTCTCTCAATTCAACACAGGCAGCTGCTGGTATAGTTTTAACTCAATCAGTTGTTAAACTGATCATAATTAATATTGAAGGGAAATATACATGTTTGTGGAGGTCACTGAACTAATATTACTTAGGATTATTACTCAAGATCCCCTGACACTCTGGGCTTACTGAGCCCCAATAATTACTGAGAAGCATATGTTGTTATTAATGAATACAAAGAAATTCAAAGGAATTGTAATTAATATACTCATCAGACCTCAGTGTAAGCAACACAGCTACACTGGAGCTACATTAAAATGAGAGTAACCAGAGTAACCAACTGCATATCTGTGTCAATTCGATTCCCTCATTACGCTAGAAATAAACAACTACAGCATGTAAACTAATATTTTTAGGATGATTTCGGCTTAAGGGTGCCATCAACTTTGAAGTTTTTCAGTAATGCACTGGATATCTAAATAAGCTGCGATGATCCCAAATGGAAGGAGAAAATTAAACCTCCAGTCTTTCATTTGCTTTTTCATTTTCAGCTCAAAGCCCAGAAATCAAAGGTAGACAACATGAGACTAATTTGTTTCATTTTGTTTTATGTTTACGAACACAATTTCCCTCAATTTTATGTGTCTCATGTAGAAGGTTTTATGTTTAACCTTAATTTCAGCATTCAAATTCACCTGATTAAGTTCAGAGAAATAATTGTCATGATGAAAACACTGCCCCAGATATTTGCATCTGTTTCATGTTCCTAATGCAGCTTTATTTTGAAAAGATGTTTTTGCCATGACACGCCAATCCTAAAAAACAGGAATCATTCTTATAATCAGTGCAACACAAGTGAAGTAAACAAAATATTTACCTGATATTTTTTTACACAGCTTATTGCGGCGCTTGAATAAATATAGCATCTGACTATGTCTCCGACTCCTCCTTGGGGAAGGCACCTCCTGTCAGCCCTCCCCTCTGCTGGAGGAGTCGTTCTGGTTTTCCTATCTACATCAGTGACATTTCAACCTGGTGACTAAAGCTGTCTGCACTGTGCGGAGTTGGGCTCTGTGATTTTTAAATGTGTATGGTTATATTTGCTCCGGTAAGTTTCTTTGCTTGGTGGTGGTTTATTTTTTGTATTTATCTCTTGAAAAATGATGACGTCTGCTTCTCTTCACATTTAAAATGTAATTGTATCAATAACAGCCGTTTAATTAGGGATCGTTTTTAGTTTGTGTTTGATGTTAAAAGTAATAAATGGACTCAAAGTTGCCGATGCAGAGTAAAGCTCTTGTTCTTTGTGTCAGTAAAGTGGAAGAAATAGGAAGCTGTCTGCCTCACAGTCAGTTGGGTCTCACAGTAAGTTAGACCTCTGAGTTTGGTATTAGCATTGACAAATTGAATCTCACTGTACTGCTGTGGCCTCCTTCCAGGGCACAGTCAGGAGCTCTGTTTGTTGTCTTCCAACCTTTAAATTATTCAGGTTTTGTTTTCAAACCAATTATAAATCTTAATAATCTGTCATATAATTTATTGATGTGTATACATTATGCAGGAAGCTGCACTCAAACGCTGATTGGAGTCAACTACTTTTGGAGAGTCTGAATAAATGATCAACTAATGGTTACTGGTTTACCATTTTTCTTTGAAAGATTTTTGCCATCTGTGCTTTTGCAACATGTGGAGGATACTATGGTCACCTCCAGGTTAAAGTGGACTGTGCAGACAGGAGGCAGAATAACCGCAGCATCAACATTGATTTCGGGTATCCTTTCAGGTAAACGAATTGCTTATGTTTACTTTTTGATCCCATTTGGTTGTTTACTTATAAGTAAGACCCCTTTAATCTTTTACAGCTAACTTTAAATAAATCTCTTTGCATTTTATTATTTTAAGAGCTGAAATGTGAATAGTCTCCTAAAAAGCATGTCCACAGTAATCATCTTAAATAGGCCCAGAAAGTATTTTAAAATTGTACAGGCCTGCTCCTTTTACATGACAGCTCTAAAACAGAGGAGCTGCTTTTTCTTTGTCCAAATTAAGATGAGAGAGCTGGACAGCTGAGCAGGAGTCTGACCCATTTATTGTCCCAGAGTCTAAAATGCTTCCCCGCATCATTAGATTCATCCGTACCTGGACTCCTATGAGAAAAATCTTAGCTTCAGGTGCTTTTTGTTTTTAACTTCTGTTCCAGTGTTTCTATTTTACCACTCGCTCTCATGTTACAACATGTACGTGTAGGTGGATTTGAATGCTTAGCGACCCACTGATATTATGATGAGCCACAAATTAGTGTCTTTGTCATAATGTGTGTGGTAGCGGATCCCAAATGTGAACCCAACAATCACTGTGAGGAGTAAAATCTAAAGCATGCCTTTAATAAATAAATGAGGGAGCAGTTCAAATAAAAACTGAGATGAAAAAGATAACAAAATCCAAGGACTCCAGGAAAATAGACACTAACCTAACTAGGAACATCAGCAGGAGGAATAACAAATGCACAGAGCAAGGGTAACAGGAAAAGTGAAGCTGCTTCTGCACACAAGGCTACTCAAGGGAAGTGAACGCAGCTGGGGAACAACACAGATGCTCACAGTCTGCTGCAAACAATCTGGAAAATACGATGAGGAGAAGTAAAACTGAATACAACTATAAAAATAAAGCAGGAAGTGAAGCATGATAACTAAACAGGGGAAACACAGACACGGCTGAACTAACGCAGTGAAAATGACATGAGAAGATAGACAGGAGCTAAGGAAATTGAAATCATGAAGCAAATAACAAGGCAGCCTAAGAATCAACAGAAAATATTAAAATGAACAATACTAGAAAGTCCACAACTCAAAAACACTGCATCAATGACCTGGGGCCATGTCAGCCTTTCTTTGTGAACCATTATATAAACATTACTCGGCTGTCTTCCAGGATGACAAAAAAAATTCTTATTGCTTTGTTGAATCTGGCAGGTCCTTTTTTATTCATAGCAATTACATATTTTCAGATCTGTGGTGGGAATATAGAATGTAATTACCCACTGATTAAATGAAATTGCTGTGGGATACAGAGAATCGAGCCAAAAGTGGATGTTGAAGAGTTTAATTTTATACCAGTAAAGTGCAAAGAGCAATGCATGAACATTGGGGTTTTTTTTATTTTTTAAAAAAAGCCTGGTTTAGGTGAGTGGCTTCCACAGGGAGGTCACACTTTTCACATGTGAGCCATGAGTGGTGTTCCTGTTGTTAATCATAATTACTAGTCTTGTGTGTGTGTGTGTGTGTGTGTGTGTGTGTGTGTGTGTGTGTGTGTGTACAGGTATTAGTCAACCTTCGCAGTGTAATTGTGGAAAATAAATGTTGACAGTTGTGCTAAAGTTGCCCTCATGGCAAATAGGTTGTGTTGGCTTTGTCTGTAGAGTTTGGATGCTCCTCCTGTGCCTGCATGGACTCTCTCCAAAGAGTTTGCTGCTACATTGACCGTAGGTGTGAATATGAGTGTGAATGATTTTCTGTCTCCATGAGTTCAGCCTGTGATAGACCTTTCCAGGCCTGTATCCTGCCTCTTGCCCATGCACAGCTGGCTTACTGTCCTGAACCGGAAAAGGGGTTGAGACAATATGAAAAATATGAACATTTACAACTGCTTTGCTATTTCATTCAAATGAATAAAATGTTCATTTGGCAAATATGTCTACACTGCTTTTCTATGCATATATTTTAACTCACTTAGCATGTGAACAGTGTAAAAGTGGGAGTTGTGTTGAAAAAATTGCTTCTGTTTTTCATGCACTTATTTGTGATGTTTTTTTTTTTTAAATCATTAATTTATAACAAACTGATCAAAAGCCAAACCCTGGTGAAAAACAACCAGCCACATGAACCGACCCACTCAAACCTCTCATGCCCTGTACAACTGCATTAGAATAGATGCTGAGAGAAGTCAAACATACATTGTTAAGAATAGTGGGCAGTGGTGGATCAGGAGGTGGAGCAGGTCATTTGCTTGAGAAGGTCAGCAGTTCCTCTAGTCTGCATGTTGAAGTATCCTTTGGCAAGATAGTGAATGCGGATGGATCTGTGTGAATATTAAGTTAAAAGCACTTGGTAAGGTAAAACTGGTGCTTGTGTAGGTGAATGAAGCTTGTAGTAAGAAAGTGCTATATGAGTACCAGTCCATTTACCATGTACTCCTTATGCTTTAGTATTTTATAATGAAGACCTAATTAATATTGGGTCTACTTAGTAGAATTTTTTTTTTCTTCAGTGCTTTTTAGGACATATTGTACTTTTTGAGCATGCGCAACACCTTGCATCACACTTTTCTCACTGAGGAGAAGACTACAGAAAACAGCATGAACTATGAAGCACAGCGTCTGCTGTTTTTCAAGTTTTATCAACCATTATCAACCATTATAAACCATTATAAAATACTAACTGAAAAAAGTGACTAATCCTCACTGAGTGGAGGATTAATAAAGATTTAAACCTGATCCTGTCAGAGTAACAGTTGCTCAGTTTGCTGTTATCAGACTGGTCAGTGCTTCATATTTCAGAAGCAGTTTCACTGTCCTTTCGTCATATTGGAGAGAGATCTTGCAGACGTCCTTGGCTTTTTTTTTTCTTTTTGCAGCTACTTTATAAATATTGTATAGTATTGCTTCTTATACGAGCAACACCAAATTCACAAGAGTCTCGTGAGAAACAAACAAAGACAACAGGTAAGAAAGAGAAAACTGAGCTTTATTTTTTATTAAAGCACCACTAGATTTCTAAGCTGTCCTTCACAAACTTTCCTTTTTGTTTTTTCCCAAACACTGGTGAACAAGTTTCAGACAGACTTTGAAAACTGATTGTATATAAAGAGTTATTTAACCAATCAGTTTTGAAACAACAAATTTCCCCCACTTCTCCACGTAAACCTGCTCTTTCTGTTTTGTAGATTACAGCAAGTGCATTTTAAAGCTCCTTTGTGCAAAGAGAACAGAGATGAGATTATTTTCCTGGAAGGTGACTTCTCCTCAGCAGCCCAATACTTCATGACTGTGGGTGTCTTTGCTTTCCTGTACTCGCTGTTGGCAACGATTGTCTATGTCTTCTACCAGAACAAGTACTTGAAGAACAACAGAGGTCCACTTGTGGTCAGTGAGTTTTCATGTTCAGATTTTTCAGTGTTCCAGCTTCATATTACCGTCTGATAGAGCCTTGTTTATGTATTATATAAAATGCAATTCAGACGTGACCAATATAGCTAAAAGAATAGTTGCAGTATTTTGTGACTCCACTCTGGAGCCTTCCTGCACTTCCATATACATGAAGTGTTTAAAGTGGGGAGCAGCATCAAGACCTGCTTATTAAGTCAGACAGGGCATAAAAGTGGAGCTAGGGTGGCGACTGGTTGTCAAGTAGCTTGCAGATTTGCACTAACTTGAAATAGCATGCTCTGTATGAGATACTCAACTGTGTAGTGGAGTCATTGGCTGATATGAGGCGGCATTAATATAAGCATATCTGCTGGTATTAGGCCTGAGGCTGACATTCATGATCTAACTTTACTTTTTTTTTTTTTGGTCGTTGCTCAATTTGGTTTTTGACTTTTTCTCCTTTCTCCTGTGTCTCCTCCTGTCCTGAGCAGGACTTTGTTGTTACGATCATCTTCTCCTTCATGTGGTTGGTCAGCAGTTGTTGTTGGGCCAAAACTCTTTCTGATATAAAGACAGCCACCAACCCAACACAGGTGCTTCTTCTCATCACTTCCTGCAGAGCTCAGGAAAACAAATGCGCAGCTACAGAGGAGCCTCTCTGGTCACGTCTTAACACATCTGTGGTATGTCTATAATTAAAGAGTGACGCACATTCTGAAGCACTGCTATAGAAAGTGATTTTATATAAGTGTGTTGTTTTTTTCTTTTCCTCCAGGTCTTTGGCTTTGTTAATGTTATCCTTTGGTCTGGGAATATTTGGTTTGTCTTCAAAGAGACGGGCTGGTACAAGACTGGACAGAGATATCCGACCAGGAGTGCGTCTGGGAAACGCTCAGGTTCAATGCGACAGCGGCTCTACAGCGAGAGCAGCTTCGACCAGCCAGAGGAGAACTTTGCTCCCTCTGGACAAAACAGTTTCAATCTGTCAAAGGGAGACTTTGATCACCAGTTGCAGAGGCAAGCTAGCATCAACCAGTCACAGGTAAGCTTCAGCTTACCACAAACATATCTTGGTAAACCGGTAATTTATGACAGAGAAGATAAAGTGGCTTCTCAAGGTCCGATGATATTTGTCAATGAGATGTGACTTAGAGTTTGATCATGCACATGCACGTAGAGAACTGAATGAAAATTTGCCACTGCTGTTTTGAGTTTGTGAAAATGACATACATATGAAACTTATACGCTCATGATTGCTCAAGAATACTGTTTCTGAGATCTCTGGGTCATTTTGCATGTTTTACTGTGTATTTTCTATTTTCCTAAGACTAAGTTTCATCTAAATCTCATTTAAACTCTGCATTTCCAGAAAACAGTTACACTGAGATAGGATCTGGTTGCTTTAGCGTTATCATTCTGGGGCTTTGAGTTGTTCATAAAGAAATGATTTTACTTCACAAACTGTATAAGTGCTTGATCTTACCTTTAAATGAAAAAACACATCACACTACAGTGCTCTCTAATATGTAATATGGAAATATGTTGTATCAGTGGACAAATACATGTAACTAGTGTCTGAGCATTCTCCCATGAATATTTAACGTTTGACTGTTCTGCATAATTGATTCTGTTTGTTATTAGCACTGCAGTGTCTCCATTTGAACATTTATAATGAGTATTAATAGATATGTGCTTCTGTAAATGCATGCATAGTCACCTTTTGACGTAGTTATATCAAAGCTGAATGTTTCCTTTATATATCCCTTCCAATAAATCAGTATAATTTTCATGTTAAAATCATACTGTTAACATGAAACAGGCTTAAGTATATTTTACCTGCTTGTGCTTGTATGTGCTCATGGGATTTTCAGCCTATTTCATGTTTTTAATATCAGTGTTGCACTGCATATTCTTCAGTTATATGGTTGATTTTTTTAGGTAGTCACAGTTTAATCACGGTGTATTCTGTGGTTACTTTGTTCAGTAAAAGATGTCAATCTCTATGTTTTCATTAAAAAAGAAACAAAACAAAGGACATTGAAAGTGAGGAAATACTAAAAAAAACCAAATGGAGATATTTCCAAAGGAAATAATTAGTGAACGCTGTTATGAGAACACCAAAGCAAAGCGTTGCTCACACTGTGTATCAGGATTATCTCAAGTGCAAAGCCCAAAGGGATAATCCCTCAGGGTATCTGTTTCATCCTATTTGAGACAATTAACAAAATGCTAACTAATACTTAAAACCGCTTAACCTGTTTGACTACACAGGTTTGGTCCTTGTAAACAAGTCGCTGCAAAGACAGAGTGATATACATGCACGATGGCACAAGCATGATCAGCCAGTGCATTTCAGTTGAAATAAAATCAAGTTGAACACGACTGTACAAACTGTGCAAACAACTGTGCTCCTGTGGTTGTAGCGGGAAACCCAAACAGTTTTCATAAGACACCACAGGAATTATTTTATCTTGTGAACTTTACACATAACGTTACAGCCTGTTATTGTGTTAAATTTATATACTACTACTACTTCTACCACTACAATTATTATTATAATCATTATCATCATAATCACTATCGTATGAACAGTATTTACAAATATCCTTAAATTAAAGGATTTACTCAAATTGCACTGTGACAGCACAGCAGTTACAGTGCTGAAAATAGAAAGTGTTTGTCCCCTTCCTGATGTCTTAGTTTTTTTAAATCTATTTGACACACTTACATGTTTCAGGTCATCAAAATGATGGTGTTAAATCTCTCCTTGTTAAATCATAATTTAACTGTGATTAACTTCCTTTTTAAAAGGCGGCGAGAGTCATTATCCACAAATGAAAAAAAGACATCAGGAAAACTACCACAAGAGTGATCCTTCCTCGGAGTCATTTTCCTACCAAAATAATTCCAACAGCGCCTCCGTGACTTATCCAGGAAGTCCTAAAAGAATTGCTCAAAAAAACAAAATTAACCTTTTGAAAGTACCCAGTCAAAACCCAGACTTAAATTCAATTGAATTACTTTAGCAGCATGGTGGCATGGTGGTTCGTACTCTCTCACAGCAAGGAAGTCCTGAGTTCAGCTCCACTATCTGGCTGGGGTCTTTCTGTGTGGAGTTTAAATGTTCACTTGGCTTCCACCCACAGTCCAAAGACATGCAGTTAGTGGAGTTAAGGGTGATTCTAAGTTGCTTGTAGGTGTAAGTGTCAATGGTTGTCAGTCTCTCTATGTTGGCCCTGCAACAGATTGGTGACCTCATGAATAAGAAGAGGAGTGTGGATGGATACTTTAGCATGGCCTTAAACAGGGCATTCATGCTTGTGCTTCCTGCAGTTTAAACCTCCTGCAGTATGACTGAAATAAAACAATTCTGCAGTGAAAAGTGGGCCAAAGCTCCTCCACAGGGATGTTATACTGCAGACTCATTGCTATATTTTATCTTATTTTATATTATCTCAAGCACTTGATTGCAGTTCTTGCTGTCAAGGATGGCGCAGCCATTTGTTGGATTTAATCAGTTATATTTAGGTTTACTTTTTCACACAGGGTTAGGTAGATTTGGACATTTCAGTTAAATCTTAATTTAAAAATTGCATTTTCTTTTCACTCAAATTATATTTTTCTAATATTACAATTTGTTTGATGATCCGAAACATTCAAGTGTGAGAAATATACAATTTTTTGGATTTTTTTTAATTTTGTTTGTTTTTGATTAGTTACAGCTGTATTACTGCTTATTAATGCCAATTTCTAATCAGCCAATCACATGGCAGCAACTCAGTGTATTTAGGTATGTAGACATGGTCAAGACGACCTCCTAAAGTTCAAACCGAGCATCAGAATGGAGAATAAAGGTGATTTAAGTGACTTTGAACATGGCACAGTTGTTGGCGTATGAGTATTTTAAAAATTTATGATCTGCTGGGATTTTCCTACAAGGTCACTTGTACTGTTTATAGAGAATGATCCAAAAAAGAGAAACTATCCAGTGACCATCAGTTCTGGGTGAAAAGAAGGAGAATGGCTGGACTGCTTCAAGCTGATAGGAAAACAGTAACTCAGATAACAAACAAGGTATGCAGAAGAGCATCTGTCAAAGCGCACCACATCACACCTTAAAGCAGAAGAAGACCACATTGGGTTCCACTCCTGTCAACTAACAGCAGAAAACTGAGGCTACAACTCTCACAGGCTCACCAAAATAACAAAAATTGGACAACAGAAAATTGAAAAACATAGTTGGATCTGATCAGTCTAAATTTCTACTGTGACATTTGGATGGTAGGGTCAGAATTTGATGTAAACAAGATGAAAGCATGGCCTCCTGTCTTGTACCAATGTTTAAGCTGATATATGCTTTAATTATACATGTAAATTGAAAAATACAATACACACGTCTGTAAATCTGCTGGATTAGTGCAAGAATTGAATCCAACAGATGTACTAGAGTTTTGTTATGCATGTATAATATGATCAAGTGACTCATGTTGTTTATATCTATTGTTTATCTTACTCTGAAGGATTTAACTTTGGGATGTATGTTATGGGCTGGCAAAGACACAGGCTTTTCTGTTCATTTCAATTTTGTGTATGGTTCATCTCAGTTGTTGCTGTGCATATTTCTTCAATCATAGCATGATAGTGGGTGACATATGCCAAAGTGGGTGCATACCATTATTAGTTTGTGTAGAAAGAGATACGACCCACTAATTTCAGTAAAAGAAACAAAAATAAGTAGTAAATACTAAAAAATACTGAAAGCAATGAAATTTGGGAAACCAGCATAGTGAATCACTAATGAATACTGATTTAAAGAAGCGTGACTCACACTGTGAATGGAATCATCTCATCTGCAAATCCTGATGGAATAATCTTTTCGAAGTCAGTGTCATCTGTTTAAGGTGGCCATAATACTAATACCTAAAATGTTTCACCACTCAGACCATAAACTGTTCATGACTTTGAGTTGGTAGCTGTTGGTTGAGCTGATTTGTGTACATGTCCACCAATTTATAATGCTATAATCCACCTTTGATTTTAAAGTCATTTCCATGTCACCTAAGTAAATTATTATTGTTATAAGTAAGCCACTACAGGTGGAATAAATATTCTTCACTGAATGATAACTTTGCTTGTGAACCTCAGTGTGTCAGTGGATCTCCACCACTCATTCATTCATTCATTCATTCCTTCACGGGAACACCACAGTGTTACACATGGAATTCAGTTATCATGGCAGGTGCCCAACAGTTGCCTGTTTTTGAACGTGTTTCATGTTGTTTGACAAGTTGTTCTTGCTTTAGCCCATGAGAAGGCATACTCATAAGTAGTTTGATGTGGTATCTGAGCAGCAAATAATATGACAACACTGTTTGTGCTCATCTGAGCATTGAGGCTGCATACTCAGTGAGGCAAATGCTTCAAAATCTGTTTGATTGATTTAACTTGTGTTCTGTAGAAAAATAAAATGAGACTGAAATGCCTAATATTTAGGCTGTTTCAACACACACCAGGATGATATGTCATCAAAACAAATTGGTTTTAAGAAATCTTTCAGTTTTTTTCACACACAAACATTAACCTGCCAAAAAAAAAGAAAAAAAGAAAAATGCAAGCAAATTTTCCACTGCATAAATTTGCAGAAAAATGGCAAAGCAGAAAAAACTCAGAAAAAAAATAATTAACTTTTCTTGTCAGGGATCAAATCATATAGATTTCATATGTTAAAAACAAATTGTGGTAAACTTACACTTGCTGACTGGGAATCCTGCTTAAAATTAGGCCGGTTGTTAACAGACTGTTGCTAACCGAACTATTATGTAGCTCCAGCCGTCCTCAAAGTGAACATTAGCTTTGAGTTACAGTCAGAGCATCCCCAAGTTTGTTATTAAGGCCTCTGTGTGCAGTCCGCTATCTGATTAAAGCAATTAGAACAAAGAGGGGTGATGCTCTCTCTGCCGGCCCCCTGACAAAGAGACTGAGCACATGCAGGTGTCCAGAGGAGGCTCTTTGAAGAAAATTGCAGTGAATGTACCCACAGCATGCCAATTAGGGTCAGGTCATCAGCAGGAAATAAAAGGCTACACCATGAGATAGATGGGCCATCTTGTATGGAGGAAAGGCTACATTTAAATGTAATTAATCCCCTTTGTAAGATGTCACACTGGCATGTAGCACTTAATGTTGGTTATGTCTGTTTTCCCTGGTGTACATGAACCAGCTGTGACTTTTATTTCCAAATGAAGCACAATGAGGAAGATGTTGTACACAGTGGTGATACAGAGACATAAGATATTTTTCACTTTTTGTGAACACCTGCAGGGGGCATTATCCACCTGTTTTATCATCTGTAGGCTTTCCAAGCGAAGGTCCTACTATGTTTATTTTAAAAAAAATAACATCAACTCTTTTCTTTTTTTTATCATTCCACTTGAGAAACAATTATGTGCTAGCTTTCTAAATGTCAGGTCTTTGCTTTTCATTTTGTACCTTTTTTCAGTCTCAGAAAATGTAGCATGTATAACAGCAGACACGTAAGGTTGTATGTTAGGAGTTAGGCCTCAAGGGGGTGGTGTAACATCACACCAAATATAAGTTGTTTTTTCTACTGATGCATTCCCATAAATAGGATTAATAATGTCCTCTTCTTCTCCGTGCAAATTGCAGGAAAATAAGTCATTTCTTCACTTGTTCTCCAAAAAGAAACAAACCACAAAGGGTGTATGTTTTTTGTTCTTGTTGGTGTCAAATGTTTTATTACACATATTTCTCAAAAATGTCTACACTCATTTATCTCCACATTACAGAAAAAAAGCTAATTATTTGTAAAAACATGTTTGGGTGATTTCTCATATATCAGCTTCACATCTTCAGACGTAGGAAATGTGCTATCAGAATTGTGTATTTATACATAGACTCATGACTTACTGTTAATCATATTGTCTGTGAGTGATCCAGGCCGAAAGATATTTTAATGTTATGTTCAGCAGAGGTATTCATCATACCCTTGGTGAAAAATGTATTGACGCCCATTGTAGACCTGTTGTTATAATCCCCTCACTGTGATTGTTTTCCATCATAAGAGAGTGAAACAGGGAAACCTACAGTTTCTGATGCAGGTCATTTATTTCACTGGCCTACTTTCACATCTCAGCAGTTCTTCATTATTTTAAACATTCACACTTCACAAAACCTTCGCTATATAAAAATTGCAACAAGTGTGACACTTCTGTCTAAGGAGCACTTCCTTTTCTTTTCATTGCTGCTTCAGAGGATTCATGGTGGATTACTATAATTTATAAGTATGCAACAACAGCCATTCCTGTCCAAAAGGGAATCATTAACTGTCAGTCTTGACTAACTTGAAGATGACATGTTGACAATATAATCAGCAAGTGACTATGTTTTGTTTTGTTTTTAATTGAGAAAACAGTAATAACAGCCTGGAGAAATTTAGTGGGTGTTTAATGATACACATATGGTAAATGGCCTGTATTTGTATAGCGCTTTACTAGTCCC